CACTGGGGGTTCCCCCTGAGTATGCTGCGCATGCTCTGGCGCTGGGGTCCTCACCCTTCGTTGTGAGTCCCCATTGAGTACACTGCACCCTCCTCAGGCACTGGGGCCCCCACCCCTCTGGGGGTCCCTATGAGGCCTCCTCCAACCCCTTATAGCCTCACCCTAGCCACCAGTGTAATAAGCAACAACAACAAAACCACAAGCCCCTAGGCTACAACATAACTATAAGCCATCTGGCTAAACCATGGTGATCAAACCTCTTCGAGCTGCCCTCCTTCACTCAGCTAAAGCAGTTCCTGCAATGCTCGCATCCTAGCTCCTGCCTCCCTGGCCGCTGGCAGGGAACCACCAGCCTGGCCTCAGCTCTGGGCTTTATAAGGGCCAGGCCTTGCCCCTTACAGCCAGCTAATCCCTGTCAGGTGTGGGTCATTCACTGCCTCCAGTTGCCCTGGCAACCTGCAGCTGTGCTCGTTATGTCCTGCCAGGGCTCTCTCCCTGGCAGTCTCCACTCTCTAGGAACAGGGCACCCCAGTGCACTGCGACATAGTATTTTATCATAAAATGTATACACCTATCCTCTGGGTACTGTATTTTTATTCAGCTGTGTCATGCAGAAGAGAACCACTCAGCTTTAGTGAGTAGGCTAAGAATAGGTTAATACATACGAAACTCTCAAGACTCCATAAACATTTACAAAAGAGCAAATTTAAGCAAATTGTCCTTTAATGAGCTGCTGGTTCCCTATTGGCTAAACATACATTAAAAAGGTTCTTAACAGAGTTCAGAGTGCAGGAACTCACTAATTAGTAACACTATCATCTCTCAAACACCAAGATATCTAATTAATTGTTTAGCTAAAAGAATTATGTATAAATACAGAAATGCACAGATACCCCAATCAGACCTTGCCCGGAGATGTTTTACAGAAAGAGTCTGACTTCAAACCTCAAAACTAGATTAGAAACTAAACAAATGGAACAGAAAGCAACAAATATGTACAACCAGGAAGTTCTTCATGATAGACAACAATTACAGCAAAGTAGCATACCAGGGTCCTGCAGGAATCAGAGCAGACGTAAACCTTAACAGAGGGCCTAGAACAGGGGCAGGCAATTATTTCAGGCAAAGGGTCAAGTTTTGGCAAGCCACTGAGGGCTGCATGGGTAGCCCCACCCCCTGATCACCATTTTGGGACTGGAAGTCCTACCCCCCTAACCCCTGAGCTTTGCCACCAGATGTCTCTCCCCTTGACCCCTGGAATTACTGCTTTCAGCAAGGGGTTTTGCCATCTCTGAACC